GAAAAACTTCATACTGTGTTGAAGAGGGAAACTCAGAGCCTGTACTTTTCCTCTTGCATTGATATACAACACCATAAACCAAAATATTATCTCAGCTCCCACAGAAAAAGCCAAAATGACTTACGCTTCAAAATCCCTGTGACTGCATTACATAAAATAAAGAACTTTAACTCTTTATTAAAGGTCTCAGTCAAATCAAGTTTGGATGGAGACTTTGCAGGAAATTAGGAATATTAACCTGGTTCTCAGAGTTGTAATATTCGGGAGCTGGGAGGGCATAATGATGGCACACAGAGCCTGACAGGTTGTCCATCAGCTTCAGCTCTCCTTCCAGAGATTCCTGGATCAGCAGTGATATGGTATCAAACAAGTGCCTTTCCTAGGAGGGGTGGTGTATAGCATGCAGAAAGAGAGCAAGCCGAAAAGAGAGAGGAAAAAAGCGAGGGACAGAGACAGAGAGAAAAAAGGACAGTGTATAAAACCAACAAACAAAAGGGAAAAAAAAAACAGAATAGAAGGTGGGGCGGGGGGGAAGACGGAAACGTTCAGGGAGAATAGCAGTAACAGAAACAAGAGGACAGGAGAGGTGAGGCAGGAGAGGAGAGAGAACAGTGCAGTAATATCACGGTGAGCAGTGACAGCTTTCCCAGACATTGCTAGAGACGGGGCCGACGCCGGCTGCCCCAGGATCGTGGCTGCTCCCACTCAGGGCCCTCCTCGGGGACAATTCTTGCTCTCAGCAAACACAACCGGTTGCTCCTGGGATCTGAGCTGTATAATGGGGCCGGTATAACAGCATCTTGATACTTGGTGCTGTGAACTTCTACAGGACACTACTGCTGTAAGGTTTCTATACCCACTGTCCACATTTTTGAGCAAGACCTAATATTTGACACCTAAACCCATATCCAGGGGTCACATAAATTAAAATAACCTGACTTGAAGAGAAGCTGAGCATCCTGTCCATAAAAGCTGCAGACACCCAGGATGGACACACGTCAGGTCACTAATTCACGTGCCAGACATGGGTTGAGGTGCCTCAGTTGTCCTGGCCAACTTCAAACCAGCTGGCCACAGCACAGACAACAGGAGGTTATACAGAGCAGGGTCTGGCTTTCGCAGGCAGCATGGGAGCAATTTAAGGGTTGCACCTTTCACGTACATACAATGAAATGAGGACTGTCGTTACAGTCAAACAGCACACAGTGCAAAAATCCTGGGGAACAGGCAAGCAAAAGAGCATGCTGACCACATGTCCTTGCAGGGTCACGTCCTTGGAATTGTATTCCTCTGCTATCGCGCTCAAGCATCAGATTTTTCCTGAAGATTTTGGCTGGGAGAATAAATAGAATAAAATCTCCTGGAGGTTTTTGAGGCTTCTGTTTGAATGAAAGAGCAAGAAACACACTCTGGAGATTATGACTAGAATAAGCCCTTTCCAAAGCCACCTTCAGAGAGGGCAGGTTTAAGAGACTGAAGAGCTGAGGGTATCCTTCTCACGGGTTTGTCTTGCAATTTCTCTCTTTGCCAGCGTGAGGACTGATGCGGGACAACAGCGCTGAGGACAGTTTGCCAGTACTCTGCTTAACATGTGCAACCACAGCTGGGACATGTTGTTTCTTCCTAGAGGACGTAATGAGTCTGGATTTCCCCGTATTGCCCTGAACTCCTTTTTCCTGTGCCAAAGAGCAGCTTTGGACTCAGTCTCAGACATCAGTGACTCCTAATGGCACCAGAAATTTCCAGTAGCTTAAGAACTGAAACAAAGCTTAAGCAGGGATTTACTCTTTTTCACCCTTGGACTAAAGACCATAAATGAGTTTTTCATGCATTATAATACTCATTAGTCCACCCCAGGCAGAAGCCAAGATATGCTGTTGTGAAATCATGATGTAATAAAAGCTAATAAGGTCTCTGTAGAGTTTAACCCAATTTGCAATGAGCTAAGACTAAAAAAAAGGCTGGACCATTTTTCTTGTATAATTCCAGTTCAGTTCCCTCCCGAAGGACCTGTCTGGGTCTTGACCTCACCTCTCTCATTCCTCAAACTGAGCCTTCATCCAGAAACTGTGCTTTAGAGAGATTTGTTGCAGCTCGTAGCAGCTACCACGTTACAGCCCTGCTCCTGCTGGTGGGAGTTTTGCCACCAGGTCTGGTGCGCTCAGGTTTGAGTCCCCTCTGGACTATTCTATTGTTAAAATAATCTTTTCTTACAAGCTTGATTGTGGGGATGGATTTTAAATTGAGGTTACATAAAACAAATTTAATACTTAAGCAAAGATTAGCCAAGTTTTATTCCTCTTTTATGTTGTGGTTCATGGTCTGCATTAGAAAAGCAAACACGTTATGCTCATGATTTTGCTATCACAAAGGACCTAGCCCAACTCTGGATTAGAGCAAATTTGGAGCTAGGTCTGGACTGGGTGGCTTGGGCACATCTCCAGAACAAACTGCAAAGCTCTCTACCGCCAAACAGATGCATCAAGGTGGCCCGGAGACCTGCCTAGGGTCTCTTCCCTGGAGCATCAGTTCCCACACCACGCAACGGTCAGTCAGCAGACAGCGAGGAATACAAGCCCTGGACGTACGGTACACCCACTCCTTCATTACCGACTCGTGCATGTCTTCCCCTAGCAAATATGCAGGTCAAGCCCTTTTCACCCTCCAAACTGAGATTCTCACCATAGGGTAAACTAATGAGAGCGGAGAATCCACCTTGATTTGCATGGGATTGGTACATCCTCGGGGGCTCTCGGGTCTCTCTCCACTGGCGCTGCCTGTCCATGCAAAGATGTCTGAGGGGCTGTGTTGCCCGGGGGTGATTGTCTTCATTTCCATCTCCAGTTCTGCTTCGAGCTCTGCCTCCTCCTTAGCCTCCTTGTTGCTCTCCTCCAAGTGCTTCATGAGCACGGCGATCACCACGTTCACCAGGACAAACTGGGCCGTCAGCACGAAGGAGACGAAGTAGATGGGTGAAATGACGGTGTTGTAACAGGTGGACTCCTGGTCACAGTCTCGCAGCGTGTCCTGGAAACAGGGGGGAAATGACGGAGGGATGTGAACAGGTTCCAGCATGGACCTCGGTCTCCCGTCTGGTCATCTGGCTGCAATGGGTTCTCCTTTCATGAAGAAAACTGAGAAGATTGGGCAAATTTCACGTCTAGAATGGCAAAATACTTGCCAGTAAAACCTTACGTTTCTGTGTGAGTCACCACAAGCAGGGTCAGAGGAAATTGTCCTTGGGGTGTGCAACAACAGACATCGACACCCTGCTGCTCCTAAAGGAAAGGCTGTTTTACCGGGTTAGAGACCAAATACACAGGAGCGTGGCAGGTGGATCCAGGGCGAAGCAGGGTGCAGCTACAACCCATCGGCTACCCCACAGCATCTGGGCTTGCA